GATCCAGCCCAACCATAGCAACAGTGTTCCCACAAGGAACATCCTCCACTGTCTCTTGCCTCTTACCCATCCAAATAACAGTCCTCTGAACACTCTTAACAAACAGATCCTTCTTCTCACCAGGGACAAAGTTGGGACCCATGATTCTGACCTTCATACCAGTAGAAACCTTACCAGCAAAGACACGACCAAAGGCAAAGAACCTACCCTTGTCAGAGGCAGGAATCATCTTAGACACGTACAGCATGAGAGGACCATTGGGGTCACAGTTCCTGATGGCATTGGCATACTTATCATCAAGGGGACCTTCATACAGATTCTCAACACGGTACCTCTGGGCAGTGTGGGGAGATGGCAAATGGAAGATCATCATCTCAAGTAGTGCAGTACTGGCAGGGAGCCACGTCTGCATAACACGCTTCATCAAAGGTTTAGCCACCAGTTCCTTCTCATCATTCTTCATCTGGACACCAAGCTTCTGCAACATAGGCCATAACTTGTCCTTCTGGTCATTCATGCAAGTAGCGATGATTTGCTTGATTGGTTCATAGCAGAACTGGACAAATCCACGCTTGCAGGTTGCTGAACCAGTGTTTTTGGTAGTCCATTTCCTGGTGGCTGGGTCAAAGAAATTCTCACCCCAGAGCCTTTCCATCATCTTAGATTCATCAACACCGAACTTGGAAGCATACATCTTGGCAAAGTTGGTAAGTGTAAACGCCCAACCATGGAGACCAGCAGAAAACGCCACAGTACCTTTCTCAGGATAAACTTGAACATCACCAAGGAGAGGATCCTCATATGTAGCCATGATGACATTAGCATTCTCAATGACCCTCGAGAAAGTCTGGTAAGCCTCCTCACCATCAACCTGAAGCTCAAGGAAACATCTGTCCATCTTGTTGACAGTCAAGACAGGTCGAATCCTCTCACCAAGAGCCTGACGTAAAACAGTCTCTGTCTGAACACAGACACCCTCAATGCAGTCGACCACAACAAGAGCACCATCAGTAATACGGAGAGCAGCAGTAACCTCAGAAGAAAAGTCAACGTGCCCAGGTGAATCAATAAGGTTGATGAGGTATTCGTTGCCATCTCTGGCTCCAGTGAAACTCTTAAGGGAAGCATCAGTCATCTCGTAGTAGAGAGAGATACCAGTAGACTTAATAGTGATACCACGTTCTGCCTCATCAGCTCTGGTATCAGTCATACGAACATCACCAGCAACCTCTTGGGCAATGATACCAGCAGCAGCGACCAAGGAATCAGTGAGAGTGGATTTCCCTGTTGATCAAATAATAAATATGCATTAGCTTAGACTTCCATTCGTTAAGCAAACTCGGGAAATAAATAAAAGATAGAGATAATGAGATATTATTAATTTTAAATCAGATTAGAGACATATATATCGGATGAAAATATGACTACGAACTTCAGTTTTTAGAACAGATAAAAAAGAGGGAGAAGACTCTACCGTGATCAACATGGGCAATAACGGACATATTACGGATGTTGTGTTTGTAGTCCATAATCCTACGCAGCTCCTCAGATGTAAACTTCACCTGCAAGTGTATAAAAAATTGTGTTAAGCTTAAATCCCAATCCCACTAACAAGTAAAAATGTAAAGAGATATATAAGAAAAAGAAATAAAGTCTTACCATCTTGTCAAACTTTTAAATCTCACCTCTGCAATATTACAGAAAGAAAAAAAATTAGTAATTGAAGTGAAACATCTCAATACCAAAAAGGCACTACTCTTGAGAAATTGAAAACATGTTGATGTGTATATATAAAGGTTCAATCATCATATAATAAATGAAAAGCTTGCAACAAACACATACGCAGAAAACAATGATTTATGTATAATCGAGAAAGATGGATATGGAATTCGTAAGATTACTACTAAGCATAGGAAAAAAAAAACTGAAAACACACCAGATTTGTAGAACGACTGTGATCTATTCAGATTTGTAGAAAAGAGCTATCGAACCAGATCAAGTTCACAAAATCGAACGATACATAACAACAGGCCTATCGAAACAAACAACAATCAGATACGAATCAAAGTTTTTGATGTCAAGCAATATAAGTCAAGATCATTAGCAAGTCTTAGGTCATCTAGGCATCACAAAGGAGCAAAATTGCTAAAACTAATCAAGACGAGCACAAAGCAAACATAAACATGGAAATCGAAACGAAGAACCGATCGATGCGGAGACTAACCTTAAGAGAAAGATGAGAGCGAGCTACAGAGAAAGAGAGAGAAGAGAAGAGAGGTGCAAGGAGGCGTTAGAGCAGCTAAAAGCTTCTTATATAGTAACCAACGAGATGCGATGAGTATATGCTCTTTTCTCGCTTAGGGTTTTCGCTGTTTTATGGGCCTTAGTGGGCCATTACGCATCGGGCCAAATCAAATCTTCATGAGCCCTTGGTTCCAGAGATTGCTATGAATTTCATTCACCCCAAGTGTTTTTTTTTCTAACTCAGAAGAATATAAACTATGATTTGGTCTTAAAGAAAGTGAGGTAGAACCACATCTGCATATTGTAAACCCGAGACTTTATTATAACATTACATTTTCCAAAAGTTTTGTTTATTATTTCAAATAAAGCAAGATATAATTGGATCTTTGTTTTGCGTTCTCATAAAAATATATATAAACTCTTCTTAGAAAAATAAATGGTGGACTTTTAACAACAAAATTCCCTGATTGTTCCATGGTTAAAAAGGTTTTTCAAAATTCGGGATAAGTCATGCCTAAATTGGTCATGAAAAGAAAGCTTAGAAGTTGGAGTTTTTCTTTTGTTTCAACGCCGGCTTCTGAGAAGTCCCTTAAACGATATGTAAAGATCATTGTTTTCCTTTCCAAATATTTCCTCTGCTTTCTGTAATGTTTCCTGGCGATAAAATTGAGAGATGATACCATTTTAGGACTCACATTATACAAATTCAGACTCAAAAGAGTTGTGTTGGAGAGAGTACTAATCGGTTTTACCTCTTAAAGCTTGTCTTCGAAATCAGATAGTGGAGTCATCTGTTCCTTCAAACCCTTCCTCTTCCTGATCTCAGCCACCAGAGTTGAAGCTTGAGTTCCTAGCTCCAGAGGGTCAGAAGCCATCATATCCCAATGATCAAACACAGACTGCGGGAACGCTTGTCCTGAGGTTGCTGCCCTAAGCTGAGCCGAGAATCCAAACGACTCCACAACAGGCAGGTACGCCTTGATGTTGTACAAAGGTGTTCCTGGCCTCTGCATCTCCTCAAAGACGTGACCTCTCTTCTGATTCAGCACACTGTAGATTCCTCCAAGAGCTCCCTCTGGTGCCTGGATCTCAACCATGTAAACAGGCTCCAAAAGTCTGGGCTTGGCTGTAATCTGGGAAGCGTATATGACCCTTCTGGCTGTTGGAATGACCTGACCACCTCCTCTGTGGATCGCATCAGAGTGAAGAACCACATCACAAA